CAGCTAGTATAGAACCTTTGGGCAGACTACTTAAATTAGGCACCAAAAGTGCACGTGTGGCTAGTTGTATCCTCGCTTATGTAACAAATATTACGTTGACTCATAATAAAAAATTGGCCATAGTACCCAGCCTTTAAACGGGAAAAAAAAAAAGAATTTTAGGTAAAGACACTCTGCTTTTTAGAAAGGCAAAAAGCTATCCTTTTTATAGCTTTTTAGGCTAATATTTAATTGGTTTTAGGGCTACCATGTGTTGTAGTATATTTTTAGATATTTCAAAATGTTTGGGAAGCCTTGGCAATATAGAAAATCCAAGTAGAATCTCCTAAAGCACCAATAAACAACGCTGAGCCAATGCCAAGCAAAATTATATTTATCAATACTCAGTGCTCTATTACTCAATAAGTTACATATTAACTAAAAATAAAACATATATCATTGTGTAGCCCTCATGTTAATCTACAAATCCTATTATAGTTATTTGATGTTTAGAAGCCTCCTTCAATGTGTTGTCTTATAGCTAACTAAAAATAACTATAATAAAATATAATAAATATATAAAAAAAAGATACTAAAAATATAATATATACTAAAATAATAATAAGAAATAATAACTAACTATAATATACGAATAAAATATGATAATAACTAATAGAAAAAATAAAGAAAAAGAAATTCTATTATATATTCTCTCCTTAAAATGCGAGGTCCTCCGAAGTATTCCGATATTAAGATAAACTTCATTTATCAATTACTATAAATATACTATACTATTTTTAAACTTTATCGACAATATTCCAAAAGTTTCTATTAGCTAATCTTTTTAAAGTTTAGCTGTAAACTTTATCAACAAATCATCATGGCAGATTTCTATTTTTGGTTTGTAAACTTGTTGATGATCAACAATTATAGTAATTTATCACTTTAGATACTATCGTGATAAATTTTGATTTGTATAGAACTTTTCCATTTGTTTTGAAAAAGATTTTTAATTTATGTTTGAAGTAGTATGACTCATTGTTGTGGCTTTGCTTTGTAGTGACTGATTATCGATTGTTCAAAAATTTTTCCACTAAAAAATTTTTTTTTTTTTTTTTTATAAAACTAATAGGTCTATCATTTCGCTTCAACAATTTTTTCCAAAACTATCTCCACTATTTCAAGGTTATAATTATTTATCCTTTTACTTTTTCCAATTTTCACTATTCATGATTATCATACTAGTTCATAGAGAAACTTTGCTTTTCTACTGGATAGCTTGGAGCAGTTATTTTGATAATTTGACTCCTTGGGTGCTCAGATTAAAGCGAGAAGGATTATAGCTTAATATTTAGTATTGTACAGCTAGCTCTTTCTACTTTTTATGCACACTTCCCTCTTTTGTTTTCTCTATTATGAAATAATATTTATAAAATTTTTGTTGCTATTTTGTATTTAACCAAAATATTAACAAAAATTTTTATCTATATGTATATATTTTAGCTAAAGAAATATCTTTTAAAAAGTATGGCTTTAATATTATTCAGACCTCTGACTTCTCTTCCTCAACTTCTACCAACACTGCGATTACTCGTCAAGATTTGCTTATACATATTGGTTCCCTTCAAGATACTGTAGCTGCAGTTGCAAGTTTGTTGAATCATTTGGAGAAGAAAACTAAAGAATATTCCAATGGTTCAAGTTGTAAAGAGTATGCACTTCTCCGTACCAAGTTAAATGATATATATATGGAACTCAAGAAAAGGAAGTCACAAAAAGATATGCTGCAAAAAATTAAAGACCTTGAAAGCATGTGATAGATTTAGAGAAGGAAAATTTCTGTCTCTGATTTTTGAATACAACTAATCAAACTAAAGAGAAGGGCAAAGAAAAAGGAAAAGAAAAAGAAAAAATAATGATAATGATAATGATAATGATAATATTGTTCAATAATAAGTAATTGATTCAATAATCAATATATAAATATATATATGTATATATATATATATTTTTTTTTTTTTGTTATTATAAATAAAGTTTTTGTTAAATAAAATAAATAAAGTAACATCAATAAAATAAAAGTTATTTTGTTAAATAATAATAATAATAAGAAAAGAAAGTGAAACAAAATATTATATTAGCTAATAATTATAGTAGGTTCTTATAAAGGTCGGTCAAAGTATAATTTTAAATGATTAGCATTAATTGTTTTTTTTAGAATTTTATCATCCATAGAATGAAGTTTATAAGCTCCTGATGCAACTATATTATGGATAAGGTTCTTTCTATTTTTCTCTAAATTTATCACCATGTACCTTAGCTTGTGCTAATTGATATAATAGTACTTTATCTAATATAGCAGGCTTTCATTATAATTAGCCAATTTTTGTAAATCATTCTGTGATATAGTAAAAATTTTATTGGTTAATCAAAATTAATCGAAGTTCTAAACTTTAATTAAATTATAATAAAGAGAAAAACTGTTATATATAAAAATAACTAGATCTATAATAAAATTAATACTAGTAGAAGTCTTTGTCATAAAATCTTGATAACTTAAATCTAAAACTATAATCTTGTCGCAGACAAAATTCTGTTAAACCAAAATTTTATTAAAAAAATAATTCTAATTTAATACAATCAAAAAAGAAAAAAATGATCCAAAAACAAACAAAAAAACAAAAAGTACAAGAAATAAATGCTTGAACTTATTCTAGAAACTAATGGCTAACAAAAAATAATAAAAAATAACTTAGTGACTGCTCTAATATCAAACTGATCTTTAATTTTATTTACTGTATAAACATTATACAGTTAAAGTATCACTACTTCGCTTTAACTCTTCTCATTAAATCTATAAGCTTTATGACCTCAACTTCATATTCTTAACCTATATTATAGTTAAGTTT